CACACACACACACGCACACAAACACACACACGAACACACAAACTCACAAACACTCATTCATGAACACACACACACACTCACGAACACGCACACTCACACACACACTCACTCACAAACACACATACACACAAACACACACACTCACAAACACAACACAAACACTCATGAACACACACAAACACTCATGAACACACACACACTCACAAACACAAACACACACGAACACACATACTCACACAAACACTCATTCATGAACACACACACACACACACTCACGAAACACACACACTCACACACACACACTCACAAACACACAAACACACACTCACTCACAAACACAAACACTCATGAACACACACACACACACTCATGAACACCTCATGAACACATTCATTCACAAACACTCTCACACACTCATGAACACGCACACACACTCATGAACACGCACACACACACACACACACTCATGAACACACACACACACACTCATGAACACACACACACTCACAAACACAAACACACTCACACACTCATGAACGGGCTTATCATTGTTTGATAATTACGTTTTTGGTATCTTTCAGAAACTACTGTCACGAGACGGCAGTCTGTCAGAAATCTCGCCACAGGGAAAAAACTGCATGTCATGTGACTTAACCAAAGCACATCATTGGCTAAACTAAGGTCTTCTCTTTCCAACAACAACAAAAAAAACGAGAATGCTGAATTAAAGAGACAGTGGCAAGGAAATGAACACAAAGAGTACAGTATAGTTGCCATATGGCCACAGCATGCGGTAGAGGGTTAAATCGGACTTATTAACATAGTAGCTGTGTTTATGCAATTAGCAATGAATCTTTAACCACAAGGCTACACCACCCTGATTTAATCTGCCTTCCTAGGCCATGCAACATGATGAAAAATAGCTATACAACAACACAAACAAACAGATAAATAAATAATTGCATGCATTATTATTTTTCAAGCCACTTTAAAGACTTCCTTGGCATAATTCACATGCTTGTGTTTTCTCTCTGACCCACAGACAGAAGATGTCCTCTATGCCTCCATTGACCACGTTAACATCAGTCCAAACAGACCTGTTCGAGACGTGGATGACAACGATTGTGATTATGCTGTTGTAAATCTCCCTCAAAACACAACAGACTCGGCCAAGCACAAAAGCTATGAGGACAGTACAGATGATTATGTGCTTATGGGTTGAGCACCGAGATGCTTCTGTGGCTGAAATCTGCACATTCAGTTGGAATGGACACCTGAGATACACAAGCACAACTTTAACGGCGTGTTAACTTTGTATAGGTTGCAATGATATTCAACTTTTTAAAATGGGTATTTATTTGTTTTTCTTTTCTTTTTTTATAATTATTTCATTTCAGGTCTGTTTTTGTCACTTTATGTAAGTAAAATATGTTTAAGACTTTTGAATTACTACCTTCATCTACGTGCACAGTGAATAAAGTGCATATTATGTCTGTATTCCTGTATGTATATATGTGTTCATGCAAAGAAAGAAGACGTAACTTCTCGCTGTAGTATTGTTGTTGCTGCTGCCGCCATGTCATGGAGACGCCGTGTGTTTCATTGTGAAAGCGAAACTACTTTGTTTGGTCTTCCAAAAGAGGACACGACTAGAAATCAGTGGTTAAGTTGTATTTACAACACTGTTCCAGAACAGTTCAGCCCAAATATTCATGTGTGGGCAACGCATTTTATGGAGGACGAGGACTGTTTCCTGGGAGAGTAGCCTACAATGCCGGCTGTTCTGACAAATAATGCTGACTCACAGACTGTAAGTATGTTTTCATATTTAAAGGATTTGCCACTGATGATTCAAACGTGAGTTTTGAGCAGTGTAGAGTAGCGCTTGTTGTTTGTCATTTCTCCGATCACAAAAGCAGGTTTTATGTTTACTGCGCATGCACACATCAATATTGCATCCTTTTCTCACGCTGAACAACAATATTTAATGTATCTGCATTACTGTAACTGTAGGTTTAGGCTTGGGGTAGGTGTAGACTTTAATAAAACACAATCTAATAGGTAGGAAAAAAATATTTATTGTTGGTTTCCTGTTGCTGTATCCCTCCAAGCCACAATCATGACTATAAATCATAATTACTGTATTTGCATTACTGTAAGGGTAGGTTTAGGCTTGGGGTAGGTGTAGACTTTAATAAACCGTAATTTTACAGGTAGCAATTTTCGTTGTCGAATTGTATACCCACTGTTTTAATCTGACAGGGTAGCACAAATCGACAGAACACCGGAACACGGCATCACAGTATGTTAAGGGGCGTAACATTTCCGTCACACGCTTGAGGTATTCGGCCAATCACAATGCACTGGATAGCTGGCCAATCAGAGCACACCTCGCTTTTCAGACCGATGAGCTTTGTAAAAATCGAGGCGTTTCAGAAAGGCGGGGCATAGAGGAGAAACAATAATGTACAGTATGTGGGAAATAATGTGGTTTTTTTTCATCTTAAACCGCATAAACACATTTCATTACACCAAATACACAAAATAATGTAATTTTTTAGCAAAGTCATATGACCCCTTTAAATTATTATTATTATTTTTTTCTTTCTGTCCTCCAAACTAAAAATCCAGTATCATCATATGTTGGGTAACAAGTGAACGCAATAATACCACATGCATTCAGACAAGAGTCAATTATATAAGGATATAATATAATAAAGGAAACGTGAAAGTTGTCACATTTTTGTTGGGGCAAGTATTCGCATGCATTTCGTATTTTGTAATATTATAATAGTAATGTAATTGTATTGTAGTTTCATGAATAATTTGTGCATAATTGTTTTACTGTTCCAATTTTGAAAAACCTAAAAAGATTGTTTATTGGCAGAATACACTGTCAATTTGGCCCACTATCAATAATAATAATAAGTTGTATGCGCCTTTCCCAAGCTCAAGGTCACTATTTGCTCAACATGTGTTCAGTGTACGTTTTTTCCTCGGCAATAATAATTCACATGCATAAACATCTTTTTTATTATTATTTTTATTTATTATTATTGTTTTATTTTGTATTTTTTGCATGCTTTACAGCCCTGTTAAAGGAATGCTTCACACAAAAATGAAAATTTGCTGAAAATGTACTCACCCTCAGGCCACCCAAGATGTAGATGAGTTTGTTTCTTCTTCAAATTTGGAGAAATGTGGCATTACATCACTTGCTCACCAATGAATGCTCTGCAATGAATGGGTGCCGTCAGAATGAGAGTCCAAACAGCTGATAAAAACATCACAAGTAATCCACACAACTCCTGTCCATCAATTAACGTTGTGTGAAGTGAAAAGCTGCGTGTTTGTAATAAACAAACAAATCATTAAGATGTTTTTAACCTTTTCTGGCTAAAACACGAGTCCTTTATCCATAATATTACTTTCTCCAGTGAAAAAGTCACCTCTCCTGAATCAGAAAATAAATATGCACAGATCAAGCACTGTTTACAAGCAAAATCAGTACAAAACAGTTGTAAACAAATATGTGGGTGGGTGGATTTTTCATGTTATTATGGATGATAGACTTGTATTTTAGAAACAACGGTTTAAAGTTAAAAGTAAAACGCCTTGATGATGGATTTGTTTTTTACAAACATGCAGATTTTCACTTCATAAAATGTTAATTGATGAACTGGAGTCCATCAATGTTTTTAATCAGCTGTTTGAAGGGAATTCTCATTCTGAGGGCAACTATTCATATGTTTCAAGGAGACTATGCTACCATAAAAACAACCACTAGAGGAAGCAATATGCTTTTCATGTTGGATGCTATGTACTGCAGATTGTGATCGTAGAGACTAATCGCAGAACAAAGGTACAGAGCTTTAAGGTCTAAATTTGGATCAAATGAAAATTCACACTGTCATAGTGCTTGGGGAATCCCACAGCAAAATCAAAAAAATAAAAAGTCAATGACATCCCACCAGTTTCAGTTTCTGCAGGAGTATCTGTGTGATATCTGAGGGCGTACCTGATCTTTCCTTTCCAGTGACAAGAATTCAGATTGGTGTACAGTTACCCCTAAGTTTCCACATCGTTCCCCTAAACACTGAATCACACTGAATGAAGGAGACAATGTGAGATTTCTTCTCAGGGGGACAAAGGACTAAGATTCAAATGGTCTGTATCTCCACTGCTTGACCACAAATCACACACAGTTACTATTTTTATTAAAAACAACCACACAACACAGTCTCCCCGAGGAGGCGGCTCTGTTTTAAGCAGGTACAGTTCACATACTCTTTATTTAACACTGACCATTTGTGACTGGTGAGAAGGGCCTGTTTGTACAGATACAATAAACAACGCTGGTATCAAACACTACTAATATGTGAGAAAGCTGAGCTGAGTAGTTAAGTTAACCCTCTGGTATTGTTTGGTCATTTTTAACAGAATTTTTTTTTTTTAATTTTTAAAAATCATAACTTCATCAGAATGATATGAAGCTTGGTGACTTGGTGATCACACAAAAAATGTGGATTTGATTTAAAAAAGCTAAATGGTCATAAAATAATTGTCGCACTTGTGTTGTTTGTGTTCAAAACTGAATCTCCCCGAGGAGGCGGCTCTGTTTTAAGCAGGTACAGTTCACATACTCTTTATTTAACACTGACCATTTGTGACTGGTGAGAAGGGCCTGTTTGTACAGATACAATAAACAACGCTGGTATCAAACACTACTAATATGTGAGAAAGCTGAGCTGAGTAGTTAAGTTAACCCTCTGGTATTGTTTGGTCATTTTTAACAGAATTTTTTTTTTTAATTTTTAAAAATCATAACTTCATCAGAATGATATGAAGCTTGGTGACTTGGTGATCACACAAAAAAATGTGGATTTGATTTAAAAAAGCTAAATGGTCATAAAATAATTGTCGCACTTGTGTTGTTTGTGTTCAAAACTGATAGGGGACCGTAATCATAAGTCTGTAAGAACATATACCATTCTGAAAAGTACAATAATAACGTTTATTTACATACTTTTAATTATGTGCAATGTAAAATAGGTTCTCTACATCAGGTCTGCTTAGTATTTAGCAATAAAAACATTGTTTGCAGTTGATTTTAGTTTCACTCTGATATAAATATGTACAAATTTGATTAATATCTAACCAGGTTCGTTCTCTACAAATCTACATATTAGTGATATCGCTGATGCTGAAGATGTCCCAGTTATTCCTCATTGCATACTAAGACAAATGTTCCTTTGTCATCACCTTTCATCTTTTGAGTCAGTGTGACTTTTGCTCCTCAGTCAGGTGCTGTTTGCTTCGGGGATGCTCTCTTGAGATGACTATTTTCCACTAGTACTGTTTTTCATGTGTAATTTTGACCACAGACATATCTTTGCCCTCAGTTCTCTTCTGGTATCCTGTTTCATCATGAAAAGCGAGTGTCTCTCAGGCGTTGAAGAGTTCAGCTGAGGAGTTGTAGATGGAATTGACTCTCTGTACGTAACTTGCATAGGGTTCCACCTCTTCAACATCAGCGGGCTTAATACACACAGACATACGCTTCAGTGAGCCTTACAAAACACTTTTACAATAAATACACACCGAATCAGTGGTTGTGAGTTTGGTGTAGTATAAAAACAGAGTTTGATAGAGACTTCTTACCTGGGGTGGTTTGTCTTCAACTGGTGTTGAGATTTTGGATTTGCAGCAAAGCATCTTCAACGCACTAAAAAGACAATGCAAAGACAAACAGATTTCAATAAGTTATTTGTCTTTTAATTAATCATCATACTATGCAAAGTAATTCAGCTCAACGGCAGTGAATCAAGGGAGTAGAAGATCCCACCTTATGTCATAAAACTTTCTGCGTAGTTTGTAAACCGCAAGCAGCGCTACAAGAACAAAAAAAACAGAGCCAACTGATATGGCAATATTTTTCCATGGAGATGAGGGATTTGAGTTTTGTGAACCTGAAAAAAGAGAGTATTTGTTTATTTTGTAATATAATACATGTTACAATGCAATATAGACAAAAAAAAGTTTAAAAGAATATTAGTCTGCAATATTGGGAAAACCCAATAAACCACTTTAATTAATGTGCTGTATGTGAGTTTATTCACTCTATATGGTTTGTGCTGTCCGTTAAACACCGATTTGCTCCAAGTTTGCTTCATTTTTCATCAAAGAGTTTTTCTTAAAATATTGGCAATTTTGACAATGTGGACATTGAGAAAGTAACCTCTCTTGAAAATAAATAAACATGCGTCTGACAAGAATTCTGTCCTTTTTTTCCTCAAAAGCGTCTCAAATCATGTGTTGTGTAAAATCCCTTAATTTTTTATTTCATATATATTATTTACATAGATTTGTTTTCTTTACACATTGCATCATCTCATATTTCATATCAAACCCTTCACTGACACTGTTGCCTCCTTGGTAAATAAGTACACTGACTTTTGATAGATGGTCATTGTTGAAGTATCGCCTCAATATGTGTAATATGCGTCTTTGTGTAAAAATGTGTATACATTATTGTTAATAATAAATATGCAAGAGGTTTAAAGGGTGTATTATTATCATCTCACTCTGTTTTTAGATCATCAGGTTTTTTTTAATGCGATAATTATTTTTATGATGAATTTTCATAGTTTAAAAAACATGTATTAGAAAAGCAGCAATATAAATGACAAAGCTATTAAAAAAAATAAAATCTAGGAAATCTGATTTATAAAAATCAAGCCCGTAGGAAGCACCTGTAGCAGAAGAATTCACTACTGATCCACTTATGAAATCAATTCTCAATTCCTTTTCATGTACAGTGTGCTCACCTGGAAGATAAAGTGTGCTCCTGTGCTGCACAGAGCCGGACTCAGAGGTGTATGTGGCCACACAGGTGAGCTCACTGATGTTGAGATTTTCCGGCAGATATACTTGATTCTCCAGCATAAAAAACTTGCCAAGCTTCTTGACAGAACTGACGTTGGAGGGAAAGTTCAAGGCAGGTTCCCAATGAAGAGTGGGTGCTTTCATTTTGTATTTGGAATTACAGACAGCAATCCTTTGATTGTTTTCTCTGTACTGCTTGGTGGAAACGTTGATAACTAAAAACAAAAATAAGCTTTAATTTAATTTATCAGTATGATATCAGAATAATACAGTATGGTATGGTTTCACTGTTAGCTCTAAATACTATTTGTGTGTGTGTGTGTGTGTGTGTGTGTGTCTGTGTGTGTATGTGTGTGTGTGTGTGTGTGTGATATGTGTACAGGTTTATATATCCTGGTGGGGACTTAACCTGAATACACACAGACTCATGGGGACTTGTGTCACGGTGGGAACTTAAATTGAGGTCCCCATGGGTACAAAAGCTTATAAATCATACAGAATTAGTTTTTTTGAGAAAGTAAAAATGCAGAACGTTTCCTGTTAGGGGTAGGGTTGGTGTAGGGCAATAGAAAATACAGTTTGTACAGCATAAAAACCATTATGCCTATGGAGAGTCCCCACAATCAGTAGTTCATGACTACAGTGGAACACTGAGAGACATAACTAGCCTATCACTGACTGAAACTAGGTAAAATCAGATCAGTGTAATTATACCTAAACTGTTTTGTAAACTACAAACGTTTTCAGTTTTTGCAATAAATTGTGTTTGTACTCACCGCTTACAGTCACATGTAGTGCAGAGCTTCCTCCTTTATATGATACATCACAAAAGTAAAATCCTTCATCTTCTATTGAAATCTTGGGAATGAATAGGGAAACGCCATCTGAGGTGTTGTACAGCTTCTTTCCATCATTGCATGTGTCGTCCAGCTTGGGTGACAAACCAAGCCAACACGTTCTGTTTTGCTGGCTGATGTTCCAGATTATATAAATTAATTCATTCCATTTGACAACAGTGAGGTTGTCACATCGTAAAGTCACATCGCTGCCCGAAATAAAGGTCTGCTCTTGGAAAACTGCAGAAAAATAAATAAATAAGAAATTGTACAAAATGTGATTAAATATTGGATTAGAGTAACATTTCTGTTTACTCAAACTAAAACTACCAAACAAACAAATATATAAACTAAATTATTATTCACATATAATTCAAATGAAATAAAATGTGGATGTTATAATAATAGGTGTGACACATTTAGTCATTTTTTCTCTATACACTAAACGTATCTCTCTAAGCCATGCCAGACTACTTTTATCCTTTGATGCGTCATTTCCTTCTATAACCCTAAAAGAGTTACAACATACACAGCAGCTCTATTCTGGCAATAGATGTAACACAATTGGTTGATCAGGACATTTTCACCCTGAAGGGGTTAATTTTTGATAATGACAGTCTGGCTATGCAATATTAGGCTAATTACACAGCTACAGCTAAAAAAAATAAATAACGCAAATACTATGTAGAGGTGTAGCACTGATTTTGGTTTAAATTGTTTTACTGTCATACTGTCACCTTCACTATGTCCACCCATTGACAGACCAATAACGCTATGGGAGCTGTGTGGAGTTCTGATCATAACTGTATTGGAATTTTTGGAACCAGTTTGAGCTTTTGGATGTGTTGAAATATATGTGACCACCAGACCAGGTATGAATTGTTTTCTCAAAAATAAAAATAAAAAATAATAGTAATAAATAAATAAATAAAACTTTGAGAACGAGGTGAAAATTGCCAATATTTCTCCACTAAATTATTAATCTTTAAACACTGCTTCAGTAATATGGGCAGTTATCAATTATCAGGTCTAGAATAATTATTTTATCATTTTAAATAATTATTTACATGGATTAACCCTAGAAAACCCACCCTTTTTTCAGAATTACTGGCGGTCATTCGTTTTGTGTGGATATATGCATACATTCATTATTCATTCATGATGATTAAGTGGAGGGCAACAGCTGTTTCATTACTGATTTGGACGTTTTGTTCGACTCACACGATAGGGGGGTGAAAAGCGACAGTCGTATGCAAATGTCAGAGACAGCAAAAAGACGGCTTTAGATTATTTTACAGATTGCATTAAGAAAAATAGCTCATTTGAACAACAAAAACAAACGGCTTAGCAATAACTGTATTAAACATGGTTTTGTATATTTGTGTCTCTCACCATCCCTTGTTCTTTTTGAGCCTTCTAAGGTTTTATGTTTCTGAAAAAATGAGTACAGAAGTCGTCCAAGGCCATATTTACAACTTTATAGTTATCCTTTTGAGATGTATAAGAGCCAATGGCACCTAATTGTGTGCATCGGGTGATGCAAGAGACATTAAAATAGTGCTGGTACATTGAAATGGCCAACATTGAAATGTCCAGTTTACTTTGCATAAAACTCTTTGATTGCTCAATAAAGAATTCAGCACTCTAGAGACCAATGTGATAAATCAAGCAAAACGATCAAAAAGCTAACGGAAATGTATTAAAGGCATAGTTCACCAAAAAATAGTATTGCGTCAGCATTTACTCACACTCATGTTGCTCCAAACCTTTTTGACTTTATTTATTGTGTGAAATACAAGAGAAGATGTTTTGGCTGTTTATGCCCATGCAATTAAAGTCAATGGGGGTCCAAAACAACATTAGAAAAAAATATATATATATATATATATTTAGATCCCCACACTAAAAATATAAATATACTGTAGTTTACGTGGTACTTTACTATAGCATTCTTTATAACACGGCTGAATTTGGCCAATTCTCAAGTTTAGGCGTATAATTATGTAACTGAATTTAAGTTGCTGGACAATACTTGCATGTTAAATGAGGTTAGGAAAAAGAGCACAGTCAGTTCGTTCGTGTGCAGATGTTGTGCATAGTTCAGACAGATGCAGTCACACAGGATGTGGTTAGCCATGCCCCCCTCCAATCACATATAGATATTAGCCGTTGTCAGATCAAATGTGTGTTGGTGTGGTGAGATGTCTGATGAACTGCTACAGATTAGAAAAAGCACACACTCTTTGCAATCTGCAACGCAATCAGAAATGACCTTTTTCTGCTTCTGCTGGCATAAAACAAAACCTTCACCTTCCCCTCACACAAACACTTAACAGTTCTTGACAGTTCTTTGTTTACCTCTCTGCTGACTTTACTACATTAACTCTAAAAAGAGCTTGAACCAAACAACTCAAAGATGATTTGATCTCCAGTATGCCCTATGCTTACACAATGAAAAAATTACACTTATTATCAGTGGGGTTATTATTAGTTTGAGAATGAGTTGGCAGCAGCTGGCTGAGGAAGTTCAAATGGGAATCATTTCAAAGGAAAATAATGTGTAACCAATAGGCCACTTTATTGTGGTTTTCCGCATCTCAGACCTGAACGAAGTACTGTGGTCTTCTAGGGTCTTCTATGCAGTGGTTTTTAGTATGAGCTTGGTTTTGGTTGCCACACAATATACGATGGGATATTACATGTATAATCAAAACAATATAAGTGGAGATGCATTAGTTTGTACACGTGTACTGAAAATACATTATACAATAAAATATTTCATCTGATTGCCATAATACTGTATGAGTGGGAGCAACTCTGTAATCAGATCACAAATCAGATAACACAGTCTGAGGAATCTTCCCAGAAATCACCTGTGCTAAAGTGGGCCAGAGGAAAAATGCACTGCTCATAGGCTGCTCTTTCATAGTTCACATTTATATTTAAATACCCTTTCCCAAGGGTCCAAAAGGGGGGTTTCACAGTGATTCAATAGAAGAACCATTTTAGGTTCCCCAAATAACCTTTTAGTGATCAGTTACTAAAAGAACCAAATGGCTTTTCACACAGCACCTAAGCCAGGTTATAGTCGTTCTAAAGCCCTTTTTGTAAAACGGATAGTTCCGGTCCTTGATTCTGATTGGGTGAGCTGTGTTCAAAGTCGTTGTAAATGACTCTACAAACGTATACCTTTGACCTCATTACATCAGTATTGCCGCGGTTCCATGTATTATGCATTTCAGCATGAGTAACTCCTGCTGGCGTTATGCTTGCGTCTTTCACCTTTAATTTGGAGACCACGTCCTTCCCCTGTCCAGTGTTGCCAACTGGGCTACTTTTACACTGTTGGCGTGGGTTGTTTTTTCCAGGTTAAAGCACAGGTTAAAGCTATCTCCCTCCATCCACCGGAACACAATTTTGACGAAGGGGTCACTCAACGGAGGAAAAACCACTGAGAAAAATGCGATTGGGCTAGTTTTGACCTAGTTTTGAATAGCAATTGGGCTGGTTTTGTTTGGCAACCCTGTCCCCGTCAAAGAAACTATTCTCATGCAGGAGAAAAAATTCTGTTTCAGGTACGGTAAAGTATGTTCATCGAGTTACACTGTTTAATGGTGCTTATTAGGCGAGCTCATGCTATGCCACAAACTGGTCTGGTTTAAATTATGAGAGAACTCTGCTGAGAGATAAGATGGTGTATGTGCGTGAGGAAATATTAAATATTGTTTAAAAATATAAAAAATAATAAAATGAAAAATATCAGCGTGTGAGAACAGATCCAGTATCTGGTCTCATTTGAGCTCCATCAGAAAAAGCATATACAGGAACATTTTATTACGTTTACTGCAGGGTTCCTCAAATCTTGCCCTGGAGGGCCAATCCGCTGCAGAGTTTAGCTCCAACCCTGATCAAACTCACCTACCTGTGACACTGATTAGCTTGCTCAGGTGTGTTTGATTAGGGTTAGAGCTAAACTCTGCAGGAAAATGGATCTCGTTGGCCAGATTTGAGGATCCCTGGTTTACTGTCAGGGACTATTTTTCTAACAAAAGGATGGAATTAATGATTTTTCATTTTTAAAAAGTAGCATATTAATACATATATTTTGCCTTTAATATATGCATTGTGTGGTAATTAGGGATGTAATGACTTAATCAATTCATGATGCGATACGATTCACGATATGAATTTCTCACATTTAAGACAAATAAATGAAAAAGTGTTCTTTTGTTATTTCTCAGGCAAAATGCTGCATATTTCTTTGTGATTTTGAAATATGTCAAATAACTCAAATAAATTTAAATTGGAAAACAAATCAAATAAATAAATAATACTAATAAAATAAATATTTTTATATTAAAAAAACATTTTTTTTCTTAATGTCCACATTTGCATTTCTACTCTGGAAATGCAAATGTGCACCTTGTACAGAAAATGCATTTGAAGCAAAAGCAGAATGGTCTGACATTAGCTCTGTGAAATTATGCTACATGAAACTACATAAAAGCAGACAGACTGCATGAGAATGCAAATTCACTCTCACACATATGTGACACTTATGGAATAGCAGCGATATAGCGTTTCTGTGGTTACTGGCTGCAAACAGCAATGTTACACAGAGGCGAGATGCACCTAAACTTTTCTGAAAGCAGTCAGTTCCCCTCAGAGATACTGTACATTCATTTAAACCCCCGCCCCCAAATGTATCGTGATTCATTTAACATCTCAACAAGACTTGAATCATCACATCCCTCGTTACATCCCTGGTTATATAATACGTATAGGTGCTAACAATGGCCCTTAGCTGTTCTAAATTCACTGTAAACAACTGCTTCTTGGGGCGTATTTCTTTATTTTAAAACCAAAATTTTCAGTCCTTGATTCTGATTGGTAGAGCAGTGGCACAGGAATACTGTTGTAATGAGGTCAAAGGTGTATGTTTGTAGAGTAATTTACAACAGCTTTGAACGCGGCTCAATCAATCAGACTCAAGAACCGGAACTGCCTATTTTATAAGGAGCGTTACACTCTTGAGATTTAGAAGCAGGGTTATGAAACCTGCTCTGAAGCAGGGTTAGCCCCATGTTTGCAATCTTAACCCCGCATTACGGTTCCCAACGTGTACAGACTGCAAAAATAAGAGGATGCGCAAGTCATTATATAAACAGGTTGTTGCTGCATTCGTCCAATCGATGACCCTGACACTGCAAATATGCAAATAAGAACGTTAACGTTTTACAGTGTGGAACGTCATTTTATGAATACCCAGAATTAACTGTTAACCCTGCGTAAATTATGAGCAGTGTGAAATGAAAAGATAGATAACACTGGATTCTGTTTATCAGGGGTTTAGAATGACCCAGGGTTAACTATTTAGTGATAAAAGTGTGAAGAACATTTAAATAATCTAAAATACCATTTTCTATTATAACCTTTTGTCCAATAGGCCTATAAAGATTCTATGGATGTCCATTCCATGGAGGTTCAACTTAGTTTTGAAAAAAAAAACACAAAGGAGATCAAAAGCACAAAGGAGATCTCAACAATGTCACAAACTGTACTCTTCTATGAACAATTTAAACATCTAACACATTAGTAAACAGAAGGTTCAAGTCTCCTGAACTAGGCTACATGACAAACAACCTGAGTAATAAAAGTTTCCTCTTGAGCTAAGATATATAGCCTTTGTTAGCAACTTCAGTATGATTCAGACAGCAGGATTTAATACTCATTCGCAGAAGTTTAAGCTCAGGATG